CACACTCTCAGATCCCCCTGGCCTTCTCTAGGATGCCTCCAGCAGAGCTAACCACCTCCCGCTGACATAGGTCTCCCAGCCTTAGGTTCTGACATCGTAAAGCCAGACCTGCCCAATGCCATTCCTTGATGTGTTTAGATGACACCCTCCTTCCTTCATCCAGAACTGACCCTTAAAAATCAGCAGGGCTGGGCACAGTGGCTCACACCTGTAATCCCAGCACTTTGGGAGGCAGAGGCGGGTGGATCACGAGGTCAAGAGATCAAGACCATCCTGGTCAACATGGTGAAACCCCGTCTCTACTAAAAATAAAAAAATTATCTGGGCATGGTGGCACGTGCCTGTAATCCCAGCTACTCAGGAGGCTGAGGCAGGAGAATTGCTTGAACCCAGGAGGTGGAGGTTGCGGTGAGCCGAGATCGCGCCATTGCACTCCAGCCTGGGTAACAAGCGCGAAACTCCGTCTCAAAAAAAAAAAATCAGCACACTGGAGCTACCGTGAAGCAGCTCAGAACCCAAGGTACGGTTCCCCTCAGACCTCAGTCCTCAGTAAGGTACAGCGTCTTGTTGCAATCTGCTCCTGTAGAATAAATCCACCTTGACAAGGAGGACATGGGAACAGCCAACTCCCATCTAAGGGGCTGCAGTGTAATAATGCATACCTGAGCTCACTTACTTCTCCCTTTGACATGAGGTAGGCACTTTTCTGACTTCCCCATTTTACAGATGAGGACACTGAAGCACAGAGAGACTTAAGTAATTTTGGAATATGCAAAAAAGATTAGTGGAAACAAACATATTAAAGAAAAAGATAAACTAAAAAACAAAACAAAACAAAAAATAGTGGATGTTTCCAATGACAAATGATACACTGTTTAGAACACACCCCTCTGGGATTAGCCGATGTCTAGCCTTTCATTTCCTTTGAGCTATTTTGCAACTCTGTAACTTGTAGAGACTCAATGGCAATGCAGAGAATTCTTGTCATGGATGGTCACACAAATTCGTCTGCTCAGTGAAGGGACTGTGCAAAATCCAATTTTGCTTCCATTTACAAATTCATTCTAGAATTCCTGATGTTTACTGGATTCTCCTTTGAATGGATTATAACATACATTTGTTTTTCCTTATTAATAATAGGTTAAACCAAAGAAAATTTTTTTGAGACAGCATCTCACTGTTGCTCTGGCTGGAGTGCAGTGGCACGACTATGCCTTCTTGCAACCTTGACTTGCCAGGCTTGAGTGACTACCCCAGCTAGGAACCCCAGCCAGGAACTAGTGACTGTGTTTTTAACCATTATACTTTCCAGGTACTGCAAAGTGTAATTGCATGAGAGTAAATGCAGCTGTAAATTAACCTTAACCTTAAAAAGATGCTTGTCCCTAATTCAAAACCTACTCTAATGAAAACCTAATCAATTAAACTGTGCTCTGTCTGAGGAAAAAACACATTACCCCTGTATTTTGGGAAAGATGATCTCAGGTTGTACAAACAAGTATATTTATTCAGGTCCCTTCAGTCCACTTGGAGATCCCTAAGGAGCAGGGGCTATTTTTCTCTGCCCGTCTTTCTGTATTATCCCCACCCATGGGGAAGTGGCCAAGGCTGGTTCAGTGTTTTGTGCCCAGGCCTTCCTTTTGATCTTGGTGCTGCCTAGCCTTTGATAAAGCCCCCTGATGTAGGAAGGGATTTGGGAACCATTTTCATGTCCTGGTTCTCCTAGAACTGTGAAAGGGAGAGGAAAAACTGAGGGACAGGGAATAGGAAGGTGTGTGGCCTGCATGACTTAGAGACAGTGACCCAGCTCCATGCCTCACATACATACTGCTCGTTCTAAGGCCAAAAGCCATTAACCTCTGTAATGCATTTAAATTACTATTTGATTAATGATATGTTACCCTAACCACACATAATTGCAAGTTAGGATTTTGGGTGCTGGAAGACATCAAAATTTAACCCTGTTATATTGATATAAACTCTCAATTTCATTGTACCCTGAGCTACCTTTTTTCCTGACTGATCACATACAATACCATTTTTCTCACTGAGGAATTTATTTGCAGATATAGTCTTATAAATCAATGGACTTTATCATTGCTTTTATTCATTAACTTTTTTAATCTCAAAATTTTAGATTTAGCAACATTATTTTACTTCATAGTACTTCCTTTTATGGTCCCTTGTATTTATGGCAAATGATACTGGTTTTCCACTTATGGTGATAATATTAAATACACTTCAGTATAAAATGAGTCAAAGAAAAATATTAACTAATAGTACAGGTGGCATTAAGATAATGGCAGAAATTAGGGTGGTGATATTGAAATGATAGAAAGTGTGTGGTCTATAAATAATAACCCTATTTGATACTATACTGTTTATTGGGCATTTACTATGTGCTAGGCCCAGAGTTATCAATGTGATGATGGAAATGCTCTACATCTGCACTATCCAAGCCACATGTTGCTACTGAATCCTTGAAATGTGGCTAGTGTGACTGATGACTTAAAATTTAAAAATTAATTTAAACATCTATATTTACCATATTAGAGCAAGCCTAAGGGTCTTACTTATAGTATTTTAGAAAGTCTTCATAACATCAGTGAAGTAAGCATTACTATTGTTATTTTGCTAGTGAAGAGACTTAGGCCTTGAGAGGTTGCCTGAGGCCACATAACTAATAAGTAGCAAAGGCAGGATCTGAACCCAGATCACTTTGACTTCTGAATAGGTGTTGTTAGTCATTTCCCACAGAAAAACCCTAAAGAATATTCTCTCAGTGGTTGACTTGTACTGGCTCAAGTGTGATGCTAAAATGTCAGACTTGAGTATTTGTTATTAGACTGGTTTATTCTGCTGTGGATAGCCTTGAGACTTCACCCAGGGTGGCCAGCATGCATGACTGCTGACTCTTAAGTGGAAGTGAGCTGTGAATGAGTCCACGGCAAACAGTGAGATATGTCCACACTGAGGGCTAATCCTGATGAGGCCCCAAATGAATCATGGCCTCCGCGCTCTGTGCTCCTCAAGGGCGGGGCCATTTCCTTCATCCTGGTGCCCCCTGCTCCCCATGGCTCCAGAGAACATCGCTCAATGTTCAGTGAATGACAGTAGCTCGGAGCACAATGGTCACCATCTCCAACCCTTAGGTCACACAAACACTATAACTGGTTTCATTTAAATTTATGACCATGAATATCAAGTGAGCCCTCATATTTCCTAGCAATTTAACAACAGATTATTAAATAGGTTCACTCTCTGATTTCACATTTTCTTCCAAATATCTAGCACCCTTTGCCCCCCTTTCTGCCCTAGGCTGATGAGCTTGTGCAGCCAACCTGTGTTGGCTTTTGTTTCTCTAGGATTTGAACCTGTTTGCAACCCCCCCATTGTGGGTTTTGGTGAGAGGCAATAAATAAATAATTAAATGAAAAGGTCAGAGGGTCACTCTTTCACCTGCCCTCAGCACCTGGGCTCAAGCATATGACCTAGCAGGGGTCAATCTGATGCTCTCAACCAGGACTTAGACTTTTGAGGCAGTGATACCAAAGCCCAGGGCTCTTGCACAAGTGTCCAGTACTTTGAATGTGAGGACATTTTTGCTTATCTGTGTTGGCAGATGTCACGAAAATTATGCATGGACCTTAAAAAAAATTTTTTTTAATCTCATCAGCTATCATTAGTGTTAGTGTATTTTACATGTGGCCAGGACAATTCTTTTTTCATTGTGGCCCAGGGAAGCCAAAAGATTGGACACCCATACTGGAGGTTATGCATATGGTGCCATCACAGAGTGGTCTTATGTTAGTAGCCCTACAGGAGGGGTTTTCACCAGACTCTTCTAATCTTTGCTAATCCTGAGGTGTACGAAGATGACTTCCCAATTTTTAATTATAGCTTTTACCTCTGTATTGAGCTCCAAACTTGCACATTCAGCTATCCACTTGGTGGTTCCACTTGGATGTGTAATGGGCATCTCAGATATGGCATGATCAAATCAAAACTTTTTACTTCCCACATCTTTGCTATTAAATGATACCACCATCTGCCCAGTTACTCAAATAAAAACACTCCTGAATCATCCCGGATTCCTTTCTCTTTGAGGCAGGGTCTCACTCTGTCAGCCGGGCTAGAGCGCAGTGGTGTAATCTCCGCTCACTGCACCCTGCACCTCTCAGGCTCAAGCTATCCTCCAGCCTCAGCCTCACAAGTAGTTGGAACTACAGGCATGAGCCACTGCGCCCAGCTGTTCTTTTTCTTCCTTTTAATTTTCACATCTACTCCTGCATGAGTCCTGTTGGCTGTCTTCAAAGTTTAATCTGATTGCAGTCACATTAGCATCTGGACTTCTACAAAAATTTCTGTGGCAGGCTGGATGATCCCCCGGAGATGTCTATGTCCTAGTACATAGAATGTGTGAATACATTACATGTTTAACGGACTTTGCAAATGTGAATACATTTAGGACCTTCACATGGAGAGATTATCCTGATTATTCAAGTGAGCCCAATGTAACAAGGGTTCTCATAAGAGGGCGGAGGTAGGAGCATCAGACTCAGTAGTAAGAGATCTGACAGTGGAGGCAAAAGGTTTTAATGACTTGAGGAAGGGACCACAAGCCAGGGAATGCAGGCAGCTTCTAGAAGGACATAGAAACATTTTACCCAGAAGCTTCCAGATGTAATGCAGGCCTTAGATGTACTTAAGTTTCATTTACGCTTCACGACCACACTGCGAAGATGATAATATTACCCTCACTTTACGGATAAGGAAACGGAGGCACTGAATTGTGAGGTAACCTGCCCAGGATACAGCTGAATATAAATTATAAGCTGCTATAAAAGCTTTCTTTTGCTCTCACTCCCTCACACTGGCTAGGGAGGGGCGGTATCTGGCTTGTGGCAGCCCAAGACAAACCCAACGCCTCCGGGTCACTAGCCCCCCAGACGTCCCAGAGCGCCGGCGCGAGGCAGAGGGAGCGTGGGGGGAGGGTGGAGGCAGGGATTGGTGGAAGAGAAGGGATTGATGGAAAACACTGGAAGCTTTGTAGCGGAAGTCCCGCCCAACCTAGGCCGAGCTTCCGGCTCTTACTGCTAGGGGCTTAAGCTGAGGGAGTCGAGGCAGCGTCGCCGCGATGGTGTTGTTGGAGAGCGAGCAGGTATGGGCCCGGCCTGGCCGGCCGAGGGACGGGGCGGCTCAGGCTTTGCTTGAGGCCTCTGCTTCCTTCTGCGGGAGGACCAGGGCCTTGACGCGGCGGGGCGAGGACTTGGGGAAGGCTAACGGGGCTGGGCCTGTTGTTTTCCAGTTCCTGACGGAGCTGACCAGACTCTTCCAGAAGTGCCGGACGTCGGGCAGCGTTTATATCACCTTGAAGAAGTGTAAGCCGCGCGAGGCGAGCCGGGCAATGCTCCCCGGGTTTCCGGTGTCTGGGAGCCACCGGCGTCTGTCTGCCGCGGACCCCCGCCTTCCCCCTACCCCGCCACCCCGTGCTGGGCACATTCAGGGCTTCGGGCCTGGAAAATATTAGGGATTGTGGCTGGCGCGGCCCCCAGCACTGAGCCACCTAGGTCGCTTCTGGTAACAATGGGCCCCAGGCCGGCCAGGGCTCTTTGTCAGGGGTCCCAAACGCTGCCACTTTGAGTGGAATTTAACAAGCTTCGGTATTGCATGTTTCGGTCGTGGAAATAATCGTTTCTCCAGGGTTTCGCCCGGCCGTGATAGCAGACGAGGTGTTGAGCAGAACGAGAGCAGTCGGGCTGGATTAGGTCATCACGTCCCGCCCGCCGCCTCTGTTTTAGCTGTTTGTCTGCTGCTCAGCCTCGTAGGCGGCCGTGTTCACCAAGATGCATTTTTTCTGCAGATGATGGTCGAACCAAACCCATTCCAAAGAAAGGTACTGTGGAGGGCTTTGAGCCCGCAGACAACAAGTGTCTGTTAAGAGCTACCGATGGGAAAAAGAAGATCAGCACTGTGGTGAGCTTGATTGCTAAGGCCATCTTTTGAAATGTAAAGACTTGAACTTAACAGAGGACGGGGCGTTTCTGAACCAGGCTGTTAATTATTTTTCCCCTTTGCCCTGTGTAGGTCTTTGACTATTTTTGAGACCAGGACCTTCCTATCCTTTAGTAGTAGAAACTTCAACAATAAAGTAAAATGAAGAAAGTAGAGATCAAAAAGTCATTAGTTCTGCTAACATTTTTGTGGAAATGAAAGTAGCATTTTGGTCCTTACTTGTAGTACTGTAAGGAGCAGTTGGCATAAATATTTGATTCCTTAGCCCCTTACTGTGCTGGGCTGTCAATAAAGTTTGTTGGTACCAAGTATGCTATTATTTTCTTATCTTTGTGGTTCACATAGTGAATATGTAACTAAATGTTAGGTTTGACGCTTGAGAAAATATGCATTTAGTCAAAAGCCTTAGTCTTTCCTCTCAATGGAGATTGAATAAGGCAAAGCAAGTGACTGAATTGTATGAATACTGCTTTATTCTGCTGTGGCAGAACCAAACTTGCTCTCTAATCACATTAGTTTAGGATACTTACTACATGAAAATGTAGACTATATTTAGTTGATAGGTCTCCCTTGACAAGTTATCTTGAGAGGATTTTTACAGTAAAACAAGCTTATGTGGTTTATAACAAAGTTCGCTATCATGAAATACACAAATCTAAGGAGTCTTCTTCAGAAGTAGAATTTGTTTTGTGGTAACTTGCACTGTGCTTAAATATGCTTGAATTAATGGAAAGTAGTTTAAAAATAAGATTGGAAGGGAGTAGTTTAAATATATCTTGTTAATGTACACAAAATACTGAGAAGTCCTCTGACATTTCTCAGAACTCAGGTAGAAAACTCGGTGCCACCTCTCTGAGGAATTTCAAGGGGCGAGAAACAAAGCTTTTTTAGGAGCCTACTGTCTTTCACATCTTGGTGCAGTTCTCGTTGAAAAAGATGCAGAGCTCCTTTGCTTGCTCTCTAGGCAGGTGAAAGTAGAGTAGAAAAATAACCATTTGTGTATTATGAGCCCTGAAGTTGGGAAGAAGTATTTTAAAGATAGGATGTTCTCTTTGGGAGGCTTTTGAGATACTATCTGGGGTGGAGAAGAGGATGCTTATATGGATAATAGGTGTGATCTCTTTTTTCCTTCCTTTTCAGGTGAGCTCCAAGGAAGTGAATAAGTTTCAGATGGTGAGTTTTGAGTGTTCCTTATGTCTCCCTTCTCAGGACAAGAGTCAGCATGATAGTGAACACTGGGGAAGATTGATACTTAGGTTCACTCTTCTTTGGAGATAAGTTTTACCAGTGTGTTTCAAGTAAAAAAGCTGTCAGGGTGTGAATTTCAATGTTAATACCATCTTCCTTTCTAGTTTTTTTTAAGCTAGATTTTGTCTTAGGCTGTAGATATACGCTACCTATAGTATAGTTGAACAAGAAGTTGCCTGCAACTTTACCTTGAAGAAAAAAAGTAAAAAATATGTGCAACTCTCTGTGGGTGTTGCAGAAGCTGCTATAATGTGGAAGAGTACTTTATCCTTATACCATTTTTCAGTACAAATGTCTCATAGTGCTATATTCTTTATCAGGTCGGCTTACTGATTTTTGCCTACTATAAATCCATTATGCAGATAGGGCAGCTGTTCTACCAGTTTGCACATCTTCCCACTAAGGTATGCTCTGTGTCTTTCAGGCTTATTCAAACCTACTGAGAGCTAACATGGATGGGCTGAAGAAGAGGGACAAAAAGAACAAAACTAAGAAGACCAAAGCAGCAGCAGCAGCTCCAGCAGCACCAGCGCCAGCTCCAGCAGCACCAGCGCCAGCTCCAGCACCAGCAGCACCAGCAGTACCACCACCAGCAGCAGCACCGCCGCCAGCAGCAGCAGCGGCAGCAGCAACAACAGCAACAGCAGCAGCAGCAGCACAGTAAAGGACACAAATTTCTCGCTTTCACCAATTAACCACTGAGTTGCTATTTTTTCCTTTGGTTTTTACTTTTGGCCACGTAGCTAGGCTTCTGGTTCCCCCACAGTAAGTGTTTTCACATAAGATGAGGGTCCTTTTGGAAAGAACAGTTGCAGTGTTTATAGGGTAGTTGTAGTAAGAACCTAGTTTATTTTACATTTGGTTAATTGGTCTGTGCTGCATGGTTATATACTCCTGGATTATAGATTAAAAGTCTCTGTAGTCATCTCTGAAGAGCAAGCTATCATTAAACATGTCTGTTTATCAGCACTCTCTCTCTATTCCTTTTCCCACCCCACTTTAATAGTTCTGGCAATAACTATTTCTAGAATGATGTGATTAATGAATAGGCTTTAGTTTTATATAATACTAGGTTATTGGAATTGAAACCTCTAAAAAGTCATGAGTTGCTTCCTACCTGGTTGTACAATTTTATCATCATAGTTCCTTACCAAGTTTGAATGAGTACTCATAGTCAAATGAGAGTTTTAACTACCATAGGAGAAACTTACTACAAAGTCATTAAGAATATAGGTTCCAAATAGTGATTTTTGGTTTCTTTAAGCCCTTTAGTTTGCATATTTTCATGTGCTTAGTCATAACAGCCAAGGGAAGAGAAGGCTATTATCTTACGTTCCAGCTCCATACAACCTTTAGTGTTAACAGATTTACAATTAAAAAGCAGCAGGTATATGAAAGCATTTATTATATCCCAAAAGATAAATTTATAATATATTACACATGAAAAACTAACAAAGCTCTTCTTAGAATTTTTTTTTTTTTTTTTTTTTTTTTTGAGACAGGGTCTTGCTCTGTTGTCCAGGCTGTGGAGTGCAGTGGTGCAGTCACAGCCCATTGCAGCCTGAGCCTCCTGAGGCTCAGATTATCCACCTCAGCCTTTGGAGTAGCTAGGATTACAGGTGTATGCCACCTTGCCCAACTAAGTTTTTTAGTTTTTGTAGAGATGGGGGTCTTGCTTTTTTGCTCAGGCTGGTCTTGAACTCCTGGTTTCAAGTGATCTTCCTGCCTTGGCATCCCAAAGTGCTGGGATTACAAGTGTAAACCACTGTGCCCAGCGTCGTTTTAGAATTTAATTTTGAATGATGATGAATGTACAACATTCCATTATTCCAGTATAAGCCTCTGTCTGAATGAGGTCAACAACAGTTCTTTAGGGTTAAAATAAGATTCTGTAGTAGTCATCTCTGTAGCTATACAGAAATAGCACAGACACCCTGCAAAAGAAAGGAAAAGATTATAAGGACAGACTCAGTTTAATGAGTGGAGAACAGAGCAAATAAATTTTTAGAACACTTATCTGTAGGAGCTTTATTTAAGCAAAAACAAGGTAGAAGGCTAGTTACTAAAAAATTATATAGGTTTTAAACAAGGTATGACCGACAGGGGTCTGTAGTATAAGGTCCTAATAAGGAGATAACCATTCACCTCAAAGGCTTCCTTGTTGCTTTTTAAGTGGATGATAACAGGAATGATGGGCATTTTGACATAAGGGCACAGAGCAAAGTAGTCATGGTTGTTTTCAATTTTAACAGACTTCTAGAAAGTGAATTACCTGGGTGAACAAAACTAATTGAGACAGCTACTCCTAGGACTCCTGTGTTTTCTTATTGACAAGATCATGACTGATTGTCCAAGCAAGACTTACTGGTTGTCCACTGCAGTTAGCAACAGCTTAGGTGTCAAGCCTCAACAAGACAACAAAATAATGTCACTCTGAAACCACCTCCCTGAATTTTAACAATGTGAAACTTGCTATGCCCAAGGGATAACTTACTTTTTTTCTACTTTGATGTTATAAATTTCATCACAGACTAATTTGAGGTATCTTTGCTTTGGAAGACGTGACAGCAGCTGCTTCACAGTTGTGTTAAATGCCTGTTCATCAGCATCCCACTAGGAAAAAAATAAGTAAGACTTAACAACAGGGCACTAGGATTTACCAGCTGGCTTTTTCTGGGTCACTAATGAAATTTCAGTGTCATTCCCCTCTTCAAGTATACCAGAAGATAGTGGAACCAGTTAGGAGACTGCTGGGGTTCTTCCTTCGAAGCACCAATTTTCTTAAAAACAAGACTCCCTAATTAGAGCCTGATTAACAATGCTGCAGCCCTAGTGTGCTGATGTCACTTTATACCAGTTATTTCTGCCTACCATTTGTTTTTTTTTTTTTTTTTTTTTTTGAGACAGTTTCTCTCTTGCTGCCCAGGCTGGAGCGCAATGGCGTGATCTCAGCTTATTTCAACCTCTGCCCACTGGGTTTAAGCAATTCTCCTGCCTCAGCCTCCCAAGTAGCTGGGATTACAGGTGTCCGCCACCATACCTGGCTAATTTTTTTTGTATTTTTGGTAGAGATGGGATTTCACCATGTTTGCCAGGCTGGTCTCAAACTCCAGACCTCAGGTGACCCACCTGCCTCAGCCTCCCAGAGTGCTGGGATTACAGGCATGAGCCATTGTGTGTGGCCTTTTTACTTTTTGTACAACGGTGATAGCAGCCAGAAGTATATTCATTTGATTGGATCACAAATCAGTACACTACCAGTATAGTGGTATATGCTTATTTGTAAGAGAGCAACAAATGATATATAAAATAGCCAAGTTCACTATTAATCTAATTTAATCTGTGACTAAACACTCTGGATAGACAAAAAAGTATACTTTGATAGGACATTGCAAAAGTCACCTATAGCTGTGAGTATAGTTAAGTATTCTTAATAGCAAAGATAAGCATTCCAATTTTTAAAATTCTTATTTAGGCTATTTGATGATAAAGGGATATACTTGTAAAAAATGTTTATAAAGGACCTAATTTTTACAAAAGAATTTTTAAAAATATAGTTCTAACCTGCAAATGAGCTTCTAGCTGGAATCGAGGTTTGTTTGAGACAGTATAGTATAGTGATTAAGAACACAGATTCTGCTAGTCTGCTTAGGCTCAAATACTGGTTCTACTACTTATTAGCTGGGTGACTGTGGGTAAGATTCTTAACCTCTCTCCTTCCATACTCTGATTTCATTTATCTGCAAAGTGGGGATAACAACAGTATCTACATACTGGGGTGGTTATGAGTAACTGAGTTACTACCTGTAAAATGCTTACAACAAGGCCTGCCAGACCCTGACATGTAGTAAAAGCAGTATGTATTGTTGTTTTAAAAAATTTTTTAAATATATATTTTAGTGCATTTTAGGTTTTGGGGTACATGTGAAGAACATGCAAGATTGTTGCATAGGTACATACGTGGCAGTGTGGTTTGCTGCCTTCCTCCCCATCACCTATAACGGGTATTTCTCCCCATGTTATCCCTCCGCAACTCCCCATCCCCCTGCTGTCCCTCCCCTGGGTCCCCCCACAGACCCCAGTGTGAGATGCTCCCCTCCTTGTGTCCATGTGTTCTCATTGTTCATCACCCACCTATGAGTGAGAACATGTGCTGTTTGATTTTCTGTTATTGTGTCAGTTTGCTGAGAATGATGGTTTCCAGGTTCATCCATGTTCCTACAAAGGGCAAGAACTCATCGTTTTTTATGGCTGCATGGTATTCCATGGTGTATATGTGCCACATTTTCCCTGTCCAGTCTATCATTGATGGGTATTTGGGTTGGTTCCAAGTCTTTGCTGTTGTAAACAGTGCTGCAGTGAGCATTCGTGTGCATGTGTCCTTATAATAGAACGATTTATAATCCTTTGGATATATACTCAGTAATGGGATTGCTGGGTCAAATGGAATTTCTATTTCTAGGTCCTTGAGGAATCATCACACTGTCTTCCACAATGGTTGAACTAATTTACACTCCCACCAACAGTGTAAAAGAGTTTCCATTTCTCTACATCCTCTCCAGCATCTGTTGTCTCCAGATTTTTTAATGATCACCATTCTAACTGTCACGAGATGGTATCTCAATGTAGTTTTGATTTGCATTTCTCTAATGACCAGTGATGATAAGCATTTTTTCCTATGTTTGTTGGCCTCATATATGTCTTCTTTTGTAAAGTGTCTGTTCATATCCTTCGCCTACTTTTGAATGGGCTTGTTTTTTTCTTGTGAATTTGTTTAATTTCTTTGTAGATTCCGGGTATCAGCCCTTTGTCAGATGGGTAGATTGCAAAATTTTTTTCCCATTCTGTTGGTTGCTGCTTCACTCCAATGACTGTTTCTTTTGCCGTGCAGAAGCTCTGGAGTTTTATTAGGTCCCATTTGTTTATTTTGGCTTTTGTTGTCAGTGCTTTTGGTGTTTTGGTCATGAAGTCCTTGCCTATGCCTATGTCCTGAATGATTTTGCCTAGATTTTCTTCTAGGGTTTCTATGGTGTTAGGGCTTATGTTTTAGTTTTTAATCCGTCTGGAGTTAATTTTAGTGTAAGGTGTCAGGAAGGGGTCCAGTTTCTGCTTTCTGCACATGGCTAGCCAGTTTTCCCAACACCATTTATTAAATAGGGAATCCTTTCCCCATTGCTTGTTTTTGTCAGGTTTGTCAAAGATGAGATGGTTGTAGATATGTGGCATTTCCTCCGAGGCCTCTGTTCTGTTCAATCGGTCTGTATTTGTTTCGGTGCCAGTACCATGCTCTTTTGATTACTGTGGCTTTGTAGTATCGTTTGAAGTCAGGTAGTGTGAGGCCTCCAGCTTTGTTCTTTTTGCTTAGAATTGACTTGGCTATGCAGGTTCTCTTTTGGTTCCATATGAAGTTTAAGGTGGTTTTTTCCAGTTCTGTGAAGAAGGTCATTGGTAGTGTGACATAGTAATTGCCCCATAAGCTGCATACCTAAACCATACCTCAGCTTTCCATTGAAACTGCTCTGTGTAACCCTAATGTGACAGGCAAACTGTCCAAACCCACGCCATCGTGACCCCTGCAACTTGTAGTAAGTAAGGTCTGTAATTTCAATCCTACCCAGACAATGTGTAAACTAACGCTTATCTTGACTTCTGTGAACCACTTAAGTAACAATCTGAATGTTCAAAGTCCCCTGGCCCTTGGAATATCCAAAGCCCCTCACCCTCACCCCTGCCCAGGAGGTGGTTTATGGACATAAATGGTCTTGACACCCTACTTTTGGGGCTGTGGGTTAGAGAGACGTGAGTCCTCCATGGCCACCGGCAATAAAGACTCTTAATTTGGCCTAGTCTTTGTCTCAGTGGTGATTTTGCACTCGCTCGGTTACAACAGTAGCTTGATGGGGATAGCATTGAGTCTGTAAATTACTTTGGGCAGTATGGCCATTTTCACGATACTGATTCTTCCTAAC